CCGAAGGTATCGCAGAACGTGCTTGGCTGCTGTCATGTTCACCTGCGCTGGGTTGCTGCAGGCCTTGGAAAGTTGTAGGGCAGCGTAGGAGAGGTCGAATCGCGTGCACTGGGCCAGGTTGAGGATGCTTCCTGTCATCGACTGGTAGATTTTCTTGTCCGTGGGTCCTAGGATTTGGTCCTGAGGTTGATTCGTGGAGATTTCCGCTCCGTATCCAGGAGTGCTCACTGGATTGGCCTCTTGCATTCCANTTCCGCTCCGTATCCAGGAGTGCTCACTGGGTTGGCCTCTTGCATTCCGAACCGCTCCAGAAGTGTGTTCACGTAGTGCTCCTGTGAAATGGCCAGGGTTCCTTGCTCGTAGTCCCGCTGCACGTCGATCCCGAGGATCCGCTTTACCTCTCCCATGTCGGTCATCTCGAATCGATCCGTGAGCTCCTTCTTCTTCTGGTCCACGAGCTGCTGGTCTCCTCCTGTGATAAGAATGTCGTCTACGTAGACCGTGAGAATCACGATGATGTTGCCGCTGGTATACACGTACACGCAGGGGTCGGATTGAGTCCTTTTCCATCTGAACACCGTGAGGTATTCGTCCAGGGTGTCGCCAGAGCGCCGGCGACTGCGATAGGCCGTAGAGGCTCCGTTCTAGTTTGTACACCATGGGTTCTCCCGTCGCGGAGTTCTTGGCGGATGTACCGGGGGCGGGTCTGACGTACACATCTCTGTCGCAGAGGGCGTTCAGGAAGGCACCGACAACGTCCAGTTGGTAGATGGGCCAGTTGTGGTGGCAGCCAATGGCGCACGTCATGCGAATGCCCCCGATACGGCATACTGGGGCGTAGCTGCGTCCGTAGTCCTGTCCTGGCTCTTGACGATATCCTCCGACTACCAGGCGAGCTTTGAAGCGTCCGTCCAGATCTTTCTTGAAGACGAATTTCGTTCCGAGGATTTTCTCTCCCTTGGGAACGCTGCTGAAGGGCACCAGATTGTAGACGTTGTGTTTCCACAGATTGTCCATTTCCTTGTTGCACGCTCCTTTCCATTCTTCGCGCTGGGGAGAGCTCATGGCTTCGTCGTAGGTGTTGGGGATTTTGATCGCTTAATTCGTCTCCTCCAAGATCCCGTGGTGTTCGTGAGTGGTCGTGACGTAGGCGTGAGCACTCGGCACCGTGAAGGGGTCTTCCGCAACGTGGGCGAAATCCTCAGTATCGCCAGGGCATGGGAGCTGGGCTTGATCGGCTATCTCAGCCAGCTGAGTGAAGGAAAGACCGGATGGCTCTACGCGGCCCGTTGTAGCATGGGCTCGACCGCGGTCGTTCATGGTGACTTCCAGATTGGCAGGAACCAAGTTGACGTCGATATGATCGTCGCTGGTGGGCTTTCCGCAAGTGCTGGCTCTGGTGACTTGCAGGCGCCGCATGCCGGAGGATCCAGTTGATGCAGAAGTGTCCGGTTCAGGCGGGTTCGACGATGATGGACTGGGGCTAGATGCGTGGGTCTCGGATGACGGTCCAGCTGGCGTCGATGAGAGATGTGGCGATGGAGCGTCCCCGTCGCCGAGATCTTGCCCGTTTCTATGTTCGTCCTCGTGCCCGTCCAGTTCGAGGCGAAGCTCCTCCCGAGCTAGATTGTCTTGCTGCATCTTCCGGACTTCTTGCCGAAGGAGTTCGTTCTGCGCCGTGAAGTCCAGGTCGCTCGTCGAGTGGGGGCTGTCCAGCAGGGAGGTGAAGCTCAGCACGTCGCTCTCGTACCCGTTTGCTTCAGTGGAATACTGGAAGGGCACTGAGCGGGGTGGAGATTCGATGAAAGTCACATTCCGGCTCTCGACCCCGGCCCCGTTGGATGGATTCAATACCCGGTAGGTCTGGCTGTCGAGGCCGAAACCACATAGCTTGCCTTCGAAAGCTCTGTCGTCCAGCTTCTTTCGGCATCTCTCGTGGTGTACGAAGGCGCGCGCTCCAATGACCCGAAGTCCCGAGAGATCAGGTGACTTATTGTGCAACTTCGAGTATGGCGTAGCTCCTCCCAGTGCTGAGTGTGGGGACCTGTTCAACAGGTATGCTGCAGTCAGCATTAACTCCCCCCACATGGACGGCGGAAAATCTCCATCCTTCAGAAGACACCGGGTGACTCCGGCCAGGGTTTGTCCGTCCCGTTCCGATACACCAAGTTGTTGAGGGGTGTTGGTGGCGGCGTATTCGAGCTTGATAGCTGAATTCTTGCAGTTGTCCCGGAATTCGGATCCGGTGTTCTCGCCTCCCTTGTCGCAGCGGATGGTCTCGATCCGGTAGCCTCCTGCCGCTGCGACGCACATGTTGTACGTGTGCACCGCCTCGGTCGTGTCAGATTTCTTGCGAAGCAGGTAAACTTCTTTCATCTTCGTGTAGTCGTCGGTGATCTTGCACGCGTACGGGAAGGAGCCTCCTTTATATTTCGCAGGTGGATTAACAGGCCCCATGTTGTCGATGACCACAAGCTGTCCAGGCCGTGATAGTTCGCGAGTCGATTGCTTCGGGTGGGGGGACTGCTTGTGTTTCGCGATCTGGCAGACCCCGCAAGGGGAGAGACTGTCGCGATAGTCCACCCCGGTACCCGTGTCCTTCCGAAGGATGTCCAGGCTCCGAGCATTGAGATGTCCAAGCCTCCTGTGCCAGGTGTCCGCGCTCACTAGCGTAAAGCAGACGGCGTTCGCCGTGTGGGTCTGTGACTGCTTCTGGTGGGGCACGAGGGATTTCGTGCCAGATGGCTGGACGTTCTGCTCGAACGTGATGTCGAGGGTGCACATGCCTTGGTCTCGCGGATCTTGTGTGAGTGGAATCACCTTGCCTTGGATAGTGAGGTGCGGAGTGCTCTCTTCGACGACGCAGCGCAATCCCTTTTTCAGGAGGGAGGTGGGCGAAAAAATGTTGCGACCAAGTCCCGGAACGATGAGTCCCTGAATCCGCACGCGCAATTGCTGTCCTCGATTGTCCTTGACGGTGCAGTGTAGGATGCCCGTGGCCGTGCCTTTGAGTTGTCTTTCTCCGGCCACGTCCACGATCTTTGGAGAGTTTCGCTGGGTGTAATCGTGGAGGTTTCCGTCGGGGATGAGGCGATTGTCAAACATGGTCTCCGATGCTCCCGTGTCTACCAGCAGGCCTACCCCGGTGGAGCTCGCGGCGAAGTTGCGTCCTGAGATGCGGGAACACGTGCCGAACATGAAGCCGCTGTCAAAGGCGTCCTCGTCCCGGGTGAAGTCGACAACTGCCACTTCATTGTTTGAGTCGTGCTTGTTGGACGCCGACGAGCAGTGAGTGCAGTTGGAGCACGCGGTGAATGCTTTACTTGAGTCCTTGGTGTCTTCCGGGCGCTTTCCTCCTTGCTGGTAGCATTCCTCGTCCGAGTGAGACGTGGTGTTGTGCTTGGAGCACCACTTGGTAGCTCCGGCGGGCTTCGTTTTCTTCTTCGCCCTGTTCTTGATCTTGGGGCAGTTCCTCCTGATGTGCCCCGGCTCGTAGCAGCTGTGGCAGATGATGTCAGACGCGGTCGTTGCCATGGCAAATCCTCGACCAGCTATGCGTCCCTTCCGTCCCTTGCGCGATTGTTCGTCCAAGAAGATGTTGCGCATGGTGGATTGCATGTCCAGGACGTTGAAGGTTGGGTCTCTGAACACCATCAGTTTGACGTCCTTGTATTCGTCGGAGAAGCCCTGTACGCAGATGTCCTTGAAGCGGCGGTCGGAGATGGGTTCTCCCATCTTATCCAGCTGGGTGCGAAGTAGGTGCTTCTGGTTGAAGTAGTCGTCGGGATTTTCACCAGGGTTCATGGGGTTGTTCTCCAGCTCCTCCATCTTCGCCCTGATGACCTCGTCCGTTACCCTGTCATAGTTGTTGCAGAGCTCCTCGAAGGCAGCTTGTCCGTCGCCGCTGATGCCAGTGTCGTCTTCGTGCTTCTGTATCGACAAGGCGGCTGGAAGTTCCACTAGGAGGAAAAGAATGGCGTAGAGATCTTCGTTTGCCCTTGTGTAGGAGTCGAAGGCCGCTGTGTCTGCGGGATCTGGCTTCCTTTGTTTCTTCAGCAGTGGCAGGATGTCCTTCCTGGTCACACCTAACACCACGCAGAATTTCTTCATCCATGTCTTGAACTCAGCTGGGTCCTTTCCGTCGAATTTCTTGAGGCCTTTGATCACGGTTGCCAGGTTCGTAGAACTATCGCTGGCGAACGCGCTTCCACCTCCTGTGTTGCTCGTTGCAGTATCCATTGCTCGTTCCAGCTTTATTTTCTTCGTCTTGATAAAAGTACTTCCTGCTGTAGGAGTAAGTTTGCTCGTGGTACTACTGCCTGTACCCGAGACTTCCCCACCCCGTTCCTGCTACTGATATAGAGGACTCCGGTTGTGGTTTTCTTGTTTCCGATCCCGCTCCAGCTACTGATATAGTGGACTCCGGTTGTTGATCGCCTCCGCTGATGATACAGTGTAGTTCCTTGAACACCCGATGCGTATGCCAATCGAGACTCCCGCGCACGTGACCCTTGCTGCTAGTGCACCACAGAGATACCCACTGCTGCCGCAGGGGTGGTAACTTGTGTATTCGACGTGAACCCTCAGCACCTTGGTGTAGATGACCAAGTTTGCGCGTCTGCTTGTGTTGCCGTTGACCGATGACGGCGTCGCAATCTCCAGAAATCTCCGAAACCAGGTTCTCTCGTTGTCCACGGATGAAGGTTGATGTCCCGAGAAGAGGTTGCCTTGATCTTCCCGTGATGTTCGCAGCTCGTAGTGTGTGCGTTAGCCGAGGCTCATAACCTGTCAGCGATATTTCGCTGTGCACTAGCAGCAGTACGATGCTGCAGATGCCAGGAGGCTGTGTAGCCTACCTCAGAGGTTCACACTCTGTGCGTCTCCAACCGCGAGAGACTTGGAATGGAAATATGAAGATGCTTTTATTAGTTGCTGACTCCCGAGTCAGATGTTGCTGGTACTGAAGAGGAGTGAGAGGAGTGGGCGAGCTTAGGGCTGCACCACTCTTCTCGAATACCGGACAAATAAGCCAATCACACGAAAGATCCAGAATGCTTCCAGAATGATTTCTGGAAGCCCTCCTACTCTCTAGAAGAGTATCAACTGCAACGTAGACGCTTCCAGAAGCTTACAGAAGGTTTCAGAAGTTTCCAGAAGGCTTCCAGAAGCTACACACGTTCTACGTAGATGTCCCGGTCAACCTTGACCTAGCATGCTTCCGGAATATTTCTAGANCAGAAGGAACCAGAAGTTTCCAGAAAGACTTCCAGAGGCTACAGGAGGAACCAGAAGTTTCCAGAAGGCTTCCAGAAGCTACACACGTTCTACGTAGATGTCCCGGTCAACCTTGACCTAGCATGCTTCCGGAATAATTCTAGAACAAGAGAAGACATGCCACGGAGAGATGGGTTCTTTTCTACTGCTACGCAGACTAGTTGCTGCAATCGTATTCAAAGGTCAAACCGTGTCCGACTACTGGTGGTCTCGACGCACGATTTT